CTCTGTGAGATTGTACCTGGTCACTCCAAGCATTAACTGCAAATCTTTTTGAAGGATGTACACCTGTCACAGGTAAATATAAAGAGTCATTTGGAGTGGAAGTGGCTTACAAAGTCTTTTTTCAAGTGGAAGTGGTTCTCAAAGTATCAGTAGGAGTGGACGTGGTTTACAAAGAGTCATTTGGAGTGGAAGCAGCTAACAGCACTGACACCTAATTTCCGTAGCCGCACGAGTTGTTTAACCTCAATGAAAAAATTTGCTTCTTTCTCTTGTGTTTTAAACATGACAAATAAATGTGTAGATTTGTTTCAGGCTGATATTGATTAGTAATGATTTGCACTGATACTGTTCAAGCTGATCTATGTGCCAAAATTAAAAGTAAAATTATATGGAAAAGCTGGAAGGTCTAAGAAAATAAAATTTAAAAAATCTTTAGGTCTCCATACCTTAACCTTTTCCAGATGGCCTGAAATGTCCAGTTTGACTTCTGTAACGACAGGTCTAACTGCCAGCTTTACATCTGCCGTGAAGCTCAGAGGTTCTAAAATCGTGTGGATGATTTCAGTGGAGTCTTCCACCAAGTTCAAACAGACCCTGGAAAAGATGTATTTTTTAAAATTCTCATATTTTGTCATTCTTTCATGGCCCAGTTAAAGGAAACAGAATGTCTGATTGGGTGAGAACAGAATGTCTGATTGGGTGAGAACAGAATGTCTGATTGGGTGAGAACACAATGTCTGATTGGATGAGAACAGAATGTCTGATTGGGTGAGAACAGAATGTATGATTAGGTGAGAACAGAATGTCTGATTGGGCGAGAACAGAATGTCTGATTGGGTGAGAACAGAATGTCTGATTGGGTGAGAACAGAATGTATGATTGGGTGAGAACAGACTGTCTGATTGGGTGAGAACAGAATGTCTGATTGGGTGAGAACAAAATCATAAGCAGAAGGAAAAGTCTAACAGACATGCAGTGACCTCTGCTCAACAACATGCCAATCACTAACTAGTGACTGCCATGCACTGGAGGGGAGTACATTACCTCTGTACTTGGATGTTGCTGAGATTGATGTGGACATGGTTCCACTCCTGCTTCTGGTCACCCGACACCTGGTTGGTGAGGAACGAGTTGCGGACGCTCAGGTTACCCAGCTGGACCAGGAGCATCTCCGTGGACTTGGAGTCGTGCGGCAGCAGTAGCGTGGGTGTCCTGATGTCAATGTTCAGGCTCATCCTGGTGTTGTGGGACTCAAACTCTGACACCTGATGAAACCATAAGCATAACTCTTTTTACAAAGGAGGTAGCTCTGTTTGCTTGTTAATGTATTGTGATTTTTGTTGTTGTCATTTATAAAATTGAAGTTTATCAAAATGAAATACTATTGCAATAATTACAGATCAAAATTATGAAATGGCTGACACTGATCAACAGAATAATTATATAATTTTGTGCCTTAAATTTTTATTTGAACGTTAAGTTTAAAAACATTTATTGGGCTCTTCACGTTAATAGTTCAATGAAGTTAAATGAATACTTATTTCCTACACAACAAGTTAATATTTACTTCTGAACTGGTTTTCATTAATTATAATTAGAGAGTTAGAGAGTATCCATTCAACAAAAATAAATGTATCTTTCTCTGGTAATTAAACATAGGCCTACAGTAGTCCCTCGCCTTATCATGGTTCACGTTTCACGGTCTCATTGTATCTCGGATTTGTAAAAAATGTGTATCTTCAAGTGAGCTCCCATATAGAATGTTATATGTTGTTAGAATTATGCAGGTATCAGGGTGTAGAAAGTGTTTAATAGCATAAAAAGTGTCTTTATGAGTGGTGGGGGGAAAGGTTAATAACAGTGTGGGAGGGATGTGGGAAAGGTTTACGAGAGTGTGGGTAGAGTTTATAAAGCCTATATATATATATATATATATATATATATATATATAATAATATAATAAATATAAGGTTTTTAATTCAAGGTTTTTTTGATATATAACACTTTTTTTTGGGGGGTTGGGGGGGGGGGGGTGTGTGT